TTCATGAGCCACCAGAAGCTCATGAAATGCCTTGTCTTTACCAGGCATCAAGAACACACTGTGTGAGGGGAAATTGTGTTCCTTCCTTTTATTATGACTATTATGTAGGACAGAAAATTTAAGTAGCATTTCTTTACAAACCTGTAAGTCATCTTGAGAATTTTTCATTTTATCTTAAGGGCTAGCAAGTGAATTAATGGGAATAAAAGGTTTTGTGTTTTTCTTTTTTTTTTTTTTATTAGTTTATTTTTAAATATTTTTGTGCATTTTTCCATCTCAGTTGTAATCCCCTTGGGCTTCCCATCACCAAATCACCCATATGCCATTTCCCTCCCCCCGCTGTTTTTGATCCCGTTCCCCACTCCACCCCCACAAAATGTCTCTGGTATTGTTATAGGACACCCAATCTGTTACAGGGCAAAATCTGTTACAACAGGGAGAGAGGGAAACCTCTGAAGCCCAAAAAACCTGCCAACTCTAAGTGGGTTCTGCCATCCGCCGCAACAAGACATAACATATAAAACTTTAATGAAAAGGGACTTTAATACAGTAAATACACAATACGGAACACAAAGAATATAACTTCTAAATCAAACACCTGAAGTTACCCATCTCCTCGTGGGCCAAAGTCAACCCAAAAGGGATTGGCCCAAAGTAAGGCCTGAAAGCCCGCCACAAGGCTAAAGCACCTTCTGGCCGGGACCCATGGAAAAGGGTCAGAAATGGCCAGACCAGTCTGGGAGGAAAAGAGCAAAATCAAAATCAATATAAACACTGTGATAGTCACCTCCCTACAGGTGTCTCACCCACATCTGCCTTAACCAGTCCAGGGTCAGAAAACAAGCCCGGTTTCTTCATCACATGCTTTCTGCTCCATGTGGCTTCCTCAGGTCTCCTCCTTCTCCATCCTGCTTCATTCTCTTCTCTCTTCTCATTCCTTCTCTCCTTTTTCTCTGCTCAGCTCCACCTTCCTTCTGGGTGGGGCAGGGAACCTGGAACTTCCCCTTTTCCTCGGGACCACCCTGTTACAGTATATGGCTCATCATTATCATTATTTTCTTGCCTTTTCCATTATATTCCTGCTATGAGAGAAACCATCCGGTATTTTTCCTTTTCTTTCTGGCTTATCTCACTAAGCATGATCTTTTCCAGTTCCATCCATGTTGTTGCAAAAGACATGTGTTTCTTTTCTTTTTGGTTGCTGAGTAATGTTCCATTGTGTAAATTCACCACATCTTTTTAATCCACTCATCCACTTTTGAGCATTTGGGCTGTTTCCATGTCTTTCCAATTGTAAATAAAGCAGCAATAAGCATGGGGGTGCAGGTATCTTTTTGAATCAGTGTTTTTGTGTCTTTTGGGTAGATACCTAGGAGTGGGCTTGCTGGGTCGCAGGGAGGCTCCATGTTTAGCAGTTCGAGGAACCTCCAAGGTTTTGTGTTTTTCTTTTTAAAGGAAAAAACTTAAGGCTACTACTAGCTTAGGTTTTAAAAACTTTATTTCACTTTGTTTCCATTTTGTCAGTGATTCAGAAATATACATTTTTTTCCCCAAAGATTTATTTACTTATTTGGTCATACAGAACTGTGTACAGGCCAGAGGTGCTAGGGTGGTGAGAGGATTCACCAGAGACAGAGTAGGGAGCAGAACAGGCAGATTGACGAAGTACACTGCTGAGGGGAGCAGCGGGTGGGTCAGGAGAGGTCTGCCACACCATGTGGTCACCTCCGGGGTGGGTGGGAAGTGGCTTTAGCTTCTTAGTGCTGTGCTTTAAGCCGCCGCGCCACCAGAGAAGGCCCCTAAAAATACATTTTTTTAATGAACAAATAGACAAATCGGTTGATGTTATTGACACCCTTTCTATGCCAAGTAAAATCACTGTAGCTTTTTACCCCTCAAAGATCTGGGCATGTGACTGTTGTTAAACTAACCTGACAGATAGGAAAAACGAGCACTTACACAGGCTAAACTGCTTGTTCAAAGTTTCACGTCTACTATGTGACGGAGCTGGATTTGAATTCGCTTCTCTGATCCAGAGCCCTGCCCTTGCCAGACGTTTCCCTGCTTCTGTGACAAGATTTTCCTCCTGACTATAGAAATAGAAAAAAAATTGATGATACTAGCAATAATGATGCTTAACACTGAGCACTTATGTGCCAGGCACAGTTCTAAATGCCTTAGATGTAATATCCTGTTTAATTTGCATGACAAAATAGCACTATTATCTGAGACAGCTAAAGCATAGGAATGTTAAGGAATTAACCCAAACACAGACACCTGGCTACAAAGTAGGAGAGCCAGATTCAAGGCCGGGTCATCAGGCCCTGGAACCTCTACTCTGGGCCCTGCAGGACAGTACTCAGGTGTCAATTACTCAATCTCATTCTCCAAGTTCAACTGTGGTTTGAACTCTCAGCATCACTTCTGCTCCAATTTACCTGTCAGCTAACATTAATGATTATTAGTTACTAATATGAAATTATGTGTTATGTGGCTCCTTTAATTTTTGTAGTTTGTTACACTCATATCTATCATAACATAAAACACAAATGAAGACATAGATTGACCATAGATGTATTTAGCCTCTGTATGTTGTCTTTAGGTGATGGAGAGTCTTATGAGTATCTAGTCATAAATGTCCTATGATATAGAATAAGATTATTCATTCTTATTTGTATCAGTACGAACCACAGCAAACACCTTCTTTTTCTCTTTTTAATACTTTATTTTTCATATATTTTTGTGCATTTTTTCCATCTCAGTTGCAGTCCCTTTGGGTTTCCCATCACCAAATCACCCATGTGCCCTCATCATAGTCCAGTGCATTTCCCTCCCCCCATTGTTTCTGATCCCATTCCCCACTCCACCCCCTCAAAATGTCTCTGGTATATAGCTGTTCATCATTATCATTATTTTCTCACCTGGTCCGTTATATTCCTGCTATGAGAGAAGCCATCCGGTATTTTTCCTTTTCTTTCTGGCTTATTTCATTAAGCATGATCTTTTCTAGTTCCATCCATGTTGCTGCAAAAGACATGTGTTTCACTTTTTTTTTTGGTTGCTGAGTAATGTTCCATTGTCTATATTCACCACATCTTTTTAATCCAGTCATCCACTTTTGGGCATTTGGGCTGTTTCCATGTCTTTCCAATTGTGAATAAAGCAGCAATAAACATGGGGGTGCAGGTACCTTTTTGAATCAGTGTTTTTGTGTCTTTTGGGTAGATACCTAGGGGTGGGATTGCTGGGTCATAGGGAAGCTCCATGTTTAGCAGTTTGAGGAACCTCCAAACAGTTTTTCATAGTGGTTGTACTAGTTTGCATTCCCACCAGCAGTGCAGGAGAGTTCCTTTTTCTCCACACCCTAGCCAACATTTGTTGTTGCTAGTTGGAAACACCTTCTTAAGCACATACTACTCTAAAATAATTCTAGAGTTCTTGGAATTATTTCATCAGTAAAATGTAATTTACCAAGAGATAGATTTTAAAAAATGATATTTTGGGGCCCTCCCTGGTGGCACAACAGGTTAGGATGCAGCACTGCAAACCAGTTGCAGCCTTAGTGTGAGTTTGATCCCCACCCCTGGAGATGACCCACATGGCAGAACAGACCTCTTCTGACCCCCTGCTGCTCCCCTCAGCAGTGTACTTCATCCATCTGGCTGTTCTGATCCCCACTCTGTCTCTGCTGAAATCTCTCACCCCCCCTGCACCTCTGGCTTATACCCTAGTTCTTTATGCACAAATAAATAAATCTTTTTTTAAAATGACATTTTCATAGCCATACCACTAAAACATCTGACCTGCTTATTCTTCAATATTTTGATCCTACTTTCTAGGCCAAGAACAATTTAGGATTTCTGCAAAGTACTCACCTATAAATCTGTCAGTGGTTCTGCTCACAACTTTCATGGTAGGGACAGCCATTTCTCAGTCCCACTGCCTGCTCACAAAATGCCATTGACTTGGTTCCCAACTCAAAGACATACCTTTTATGCTATTTCAAGTCCCCTAGGGAAGACTCAGTATTTGAGAAGTGGGACTCCCCAAAGTGTCCCACAGCTTTGAGGTTGAAACTAAGTGAGAAGCTAGGTGGGTGTAAGACTGACCCATCCTACCTGCTCTGGGAGCTCCCACACCTCCAAAATGCCTAAGGTCAGTTTAGAAAAATCCTCTGGGAAGGATATAGGGAATCCCATTTACGAGAGAGCATTTGTTTTGGTGAGCAAACCTGGACTCATAATCGGGTTTTATCTTTTGTTATTTTCTAATTTCTTTTTAAATATTTATTTATTCATACAGAACTGGGGTACAGTCAGAGGTGCAGGGGAGATGAGAGGCTTTGCCAGAGACAGAGTGGGGAGCAGAACAAGCAGATCAATGCAGTACACTGCTGAGGGGAGCAGCGGGCGGGTCAGGAGAGGTCTGCCGCGCCATGTGGGTCACCTTCGGGGCTGGAATCGAACTCCCATTGAAGCAGCTGTGGCTCGCATGCAGTGCTGTGTCCTAACCCTTTGCACCACCAGGGAGGACCCAATTTTCTAATTTCTAAAGATAACCCAATACTGAATATCCTTAATGCCCTGAGTCCACAATCTTAGAAAAGAAAAAGTTAAGTACAAATTTCAAAATTACTTCTTATTTGTATTTTCTGTGAGATTTTCAGCCTTTATCTAGACCTAACCTGGATATATGAATTAGCATTTGAAAATGTCCTCAACCTACACATTGAAGAAAATATAATCTTGGAATTCTAAGCTTTGAGTTAATTTTCTGTCATCTAAAAATGTTTTATTAGAAAAGGATTTTCTATGGCTAGATGCTTAAATGATTTTCTTCTTTAAATAAAGTGGTGACTTTGGAAATAAGCAAATAAAATGTCAGTTTGTTTCATGGGCAGAAAATCCTTAAAGTTTTCAGGGAAATGAATCTGGATTATAGCTAAATATGGCTACAAAAAGCTTCAAATCATGTTTTCATTCTTCATTTTTGTCTTGCAGACCCTTTACCCCCTACTAGGTTTGAAGTGCATCAAGAGGAAACTACGTCTACCAGCTTGCATGTTTCGTGGACACCTTCTTCTGGAAAAGTCTCTTGGTACGAGGTGCAGTTATTTGATGATAACCAAAGGATCCAAATTCAAGAAAGTACTTCATGGAATGAGCACACATTTTTTAACCTCACTGCTGGTAATAAGTACAATGTTGCCATCACAGCCATTTCTGGAGATAAACGTTCCTCTACAGTTTATATCAATGGATCAACAGGTAACACCTGTTTACAGATAGTTGAGAATCTTATGGCCTTTTTTCCTTTTGAAGTCATATTGAATTTAAGGAAGGGGAGTGAAAATGCTCCCAAATGATTGAAAAATATATAGATGATAGACAGATAGATAATAAATGATTGATCAGTAGATCAATCAACAGATACAGATAAATATTGGGTGATACACAAGAAAGACTGAAAATAATGAGGTAACCGTTTAGCCTCTAACTTCTTGTCTGATTTGAACAAGTCATAGAACTTCTCTGGAGCTGGAATTTTCTCCAAAAGGAAGTAGGTCCTTCCAAATGGTTCTTCTAACTGAAATCTTTGGCAAGTATATTTTCAGCTTTATTGTCTAAGATTTCACCATAACACTTAGTGTTTAGCTGTTTTCCAAATTTGCAAAGTCCTCCCTTAACACCAAGTCATGGTGTGTCCTGATATGTCTATGTTTGTAACAAGTGTTTGGTCCCTAGACTGGTGAGAATTACATCAGCTCTTGCACCCATCCTGACCATCTAGCATCCTGACACTAATGACCGATGATCATTTCCTTCCATAAAACCCTGTCCTTATCATTTGCCCTCCCCTCATTTTGTCTCCTATATAATCTCTCTTTCCATTTTTCTTTCTCTATAGTTCTTTTCTTTTCCTTTCTATTTTCTGCTTTGCCACATCATACTTAAATGGCAAAGACTACCTTTAAGTGTGTGTGTGTGGGGTGGGAGTAGACAAGTAAATTATGATGTAACTCAGTCTATAGACTTTGAAAAGAGATTCCAGTGAAATTTCTAGAATGCAGTTTTCATTACTGTTAGATGAATGTTTCACTACAGTTTTCATTGCACAAGTAATATAGACAGAGAAGCATGAATGAATGTAATTCATTCTAACTATAGGATTTCTATAGGTGTTTTCTAACTATAAGTGTTTATTTCTCCTATAATAAATTTATAAATGACACTCAGAAATGCATTTTATTCCTCTAGTGCCATCCCCAGTGAAAAATATTGATGTTTTAGCAAAAGCTAATTCTCTCCTGATTTCCTGGACCCATGGCTTTGGGAATGTGGACAAGTACCAGCTGATGCTTATGGATAAGGGGATCTTAGTTCATAGCATGGTTGTGGACAGATATACTACATCCTACACGTTTCAAGGGCTGATGCCTGGCCACCTCTACAATGTCACCATAGTGACGGAGGCTGCAGGGCTGCAAAATTACAGGTGGAAACTAGCCAGAACAGGTAAGTTCCCCTAGCTAGCTGAACAAGAATAAAACTCAATCCAAAGAAATGTTTTATGAATAAGGCATATTAACTTATTTAAATAATGGTAATATTGGACAAATTAAAATTCATATGTTATAGGGAACATTTAATATGTGATATATCAACTTTTCTGATAGAGAAACTGTATTCCCTTGGCAACATTTTGAAATAGACAGTCTCTGATAAGGTCTCAGTTTCTCTTTTTTTGAATGCCAGTCTCTTTGGCAAGGATATCTACTTCTCTCTCTTAAACGGCCACCCACAGCCTTTATGATCTCATTCCCAGTAAACAGGATTACTTTCCTCAGTGCTATGCTAAGTCCTGCTCCTATGAAACAGCCATCTCCCAAGCCTTCTAGTCAACAAAACATGCTCTGACACTCAACACTACATTTGGGAATGTAGTGAATACTATTCTCATAGCTGACATAACCTGATAAATTAATCTATGCTAAATTTTAATGAATATTCATGCATACATATATTCATTCAATTAAGTCTAAACTGTATGGTAAGCATTATGTTTATAACAATGTCAAGAAAGTCTTTGCCTTACATTCTAGTGGATATAAGCTGTGGAGCTTATATTCTAGTGGATACTTTCGGGAAATGCACTGTATTAACAAATCTCTCATGGTAAGATACCTAATTTTAAGAGAAACTCTAAAAATACACAGTGCTTAGGAAATTACTCCAGTGGGGAGAGTTTCTGGAATAATAGGTTGGTGAAAAAAATAGTGAGGGAAACATGTACTTTTCCACACCTTTCATATCACATACCAAAGATGCACTGACTTTTCCAACAAAAATGTACTGTATATATTCAGAATCACTGAAGTTTCTCAAAAGCAAGTTAGCAACTTCCACTGCAAAATCAGTGTGGTATGCCCACTCTTTTAGTGAGGTGTTGCTAATTTATATCATGTATATAATGGGGCCCAACATTATATGGCAAAGAGCCTCACTGAAAGGTAAAAAATATTCTCCAAAGTGTCTCTCACCTGTAATCATTACTCATTGATGAAATAAAGATAAAACTCTTAAACTTTAACTATTGTGATTTAAAATAAAAAACAAAGAGTGTTTAGCACTCAGAACTTTGAACTAGGAAGGACCATTTAGGTCTTTTGACCAAGCCCTTCTCTACCAGCGGGGATCCCTGGGCTCAGAGAGACAGCAGAGGTCCTGGCCACCACGAACATGTTCCTTCCACTCCCTAGACAGTCTCTGGGTTTCGCGATATTGTCTTTGGCTCATGTAGTGCTACTTTCTTCTGAGAGTGTGGCTTATAGGGACTAAAATGCAGGTCCAAATTTGACCAAAAGACTTGAAGATATTTGGATTTACAATCTCTCTTCTGCTTTTTCTAAACTAGCTCCCATGGAAGTCTCAAATCTGAAGGTGACAAATGATGGCACTTTGACCTCTCTAAAAGTCAGATGGCAAAGACCTTCTGGAAATGTGGATTCCTATAACATTACCTTGTCTCATCAAGGGACCATCAAAGAATCCAGAACATTAGCACCTCAGGTTACTGAAACCTACTTTAAAGATTTAATCCCCGGACGCCTTTATCAAGTTACTATCAGTTCTCTTTCTGGTGAATTGTTTGCTCAGAAGACGGCAGTGGGCAGAACAGGTGAGTCTAAGGCTCTTTGATCAAAATAAGTTAGAAGGAAAACATACTTCCTACCCTGGGAATTATTGGTCTCCATGACTGAAGGTGTCTATGGATCAGAACCAACAGGCAGAATTAAGCAGAGGGGTAATTGCATCCACCTGAATTATTTAAGCAAGTGTGTTTGGATTAATTCCTGGATGATCTTCTGATTGGCTCTGCTCTGTGTTATTCATTTCTCACTACTTAAGTAGCATAAATGTGTAAGCATTGATACTAATGAATAAAACATATCTGATGAACTTTTACAATGAGGGCCAGCTTAGCACTTTGCCATGTTTTTCATAAATTCTTTTACTACTTTTTGTCACCAAACATTTATCTAGTGCCTCCTATGTATAAATTACTATGTACTACATGTACTATGAATTTTGAGACTTATTAAAATGCCAGGGTTAGCAAATTATGTCTTCTGACTAAATATGGTCCATTGCCTGTTTTTATATGGGACAAAGCTAAAATAGCTCACATGTGGCCTGAAATATTGAAATATTCAGTAACTTATTATATCTAGCCTGACATCAAAAAAAAATTTCAGACCCTTTTAAGGGAGTTATGTTTTAATCATACAAATGAAGAATACATACAAAAAGAATTAAAATAGTACATTTTAACGGTGGTGGTTATATAGATATTTCCATATATCAGACACTGTCTAAATACTTTAGACCATTATTTTATTTAATTCCCACCACAGAATCTCTAGAGAAGCTCTGATGTTATCATTTTACACATAACTTGCAGAAGTCAACTAACTTGTCCATAGTCATTCAGTTAGTAAATGTTGAAGCTGGAATTGAAATCAGGCTGTCTCATTCCAGAGTCCATTCCTTCTCTGTGCCTTTTGAGATCCTAGGAAAGAGCCACAGGGCGAGAAAGACATGAACAAATTCTGCGCTTATCTGGTGGCACAAAGGGTTAAGTCCCAGCACTATGAAGCTGTCTGCAGCCACTGCAGCATGAATTCAGTCCCTGGCCAGGGAGCTGACCCACATAGCTCAGCAGACCTCTCCTGTCTTGCCTGGTGTCCCTTCAGCAATGGATTTCAGTAAATCTGCCTGTTCTCCTCTCTACTCTGTCTCTGGCAATCCTCTCACCCCACACCTCTGGCCTGTGTAGGCATGAGTAAATAAATCTCTTTTTAAAAAGAAAAAACAAATTCTGTTTCTGAAGTCTAGTAAAGACTTACCTAAAGGAATTGACTTTTAACTGGTATCTAAGAAATGTGAAAGTCAGGCATTTGAGGGAAAGTACAATATAAGCAAAGGCAGGGAGGCCAGAGTGCCCAGGAGACTTCCAGGTTGGCAGAGTGTGAGCCAGAGCCCAGCAGTCCAGGAAGTGGGAGGGAGGGCGAATAATCAGAATTAAGACTGCAAGGAGAGCCCTCCCTGGTGGCGCAGCGGGTTAAAGCACTTCACTAAGAAGCTAAAGCCACTTCTGCATGAGTTCGATTCCCCCTGCCCGGGAGGTGACCACATGGCATTGCAGACCTCTCCTGACTCGCCCACTGCTCCCCTCAGCAGTGTACTTTGTCGATCTGCCTGTTCTGCTCCCCACTCTGTCTCTGGTGAAGCCTCTCGCCCCTGAGCCTCTGGCCTGTACCCCAGTTCTGTATGGACAAATAAATAAATCTTAAAAAAAAAAAAAAAAAAAAGACTGCAAGGAAATGGTGTGGGATGTTGGAAGTCACAGTTGCCAAGTTAAGGACTCAATGTTTCATTCTGTAATTGAGACACCTTGAAAGTTTCTGAGAAAAGGAATAATGAGGTTGGTGCTATGTTGCGAGAAGATTTGTCTTTTCATTTGGAAAACAAAGACAGGAATGTTTCGTAACCACAATTTCCAGTGTCTTTCTCTTCCAAAAGATGCTACATCTATCAATGTTACCATTATTAGAAGCAACATCAATATTGTCTCTTTAAGGCTGATGTACTACCAATAAACTGTGGTTATATCACTGTTTTTATTATTATTATTATTATTACAGTTTATTTTTACATCATTTTGTGCTTTTTCCATCTGAGTTATAATCCCTGTGGGCTTCCCATCACCAATTCACCCATGTGCCATCACCATAGTCCATGCACTCCCCCTCCATTTTTGATCCCATTCCCCACTCCACCCCCATAAATTATCCCTCGTATATTGTTGTTCATTGTTATTATTTTTTCCCCTGGTCCTTTATGCTCCTGCTATGAGTGAAACCATCAGGTAGTTTTCCTTTTCTTTCTGGCTTATTTCACTAAGCACGATCCCTTCCAGCTCCATCCACGTTGCTGCAAAAGGCATGTGTTTATCTTTTTGATCACTGAGTAATATTCCATCGTGTCACTGGGTTATTAATGGTGCTAGAGAAGATTGCATGATGATGTATTACTGAAATGATTTTGGCTTATACATCCTGAGGGTCAAATGTCTCCAAAATGAAGAAAGAACATTCATTTGCTCCCCAAAAATACCAGGAAAGGACAGAAATGCTTTAAATTGCAGATACAAAGTATCTCATTTACTGTTACCCATGAAAAATAAGTAAGTTCTTATTTTTGGTTTTTATGATCTCCTTTTTGACATCATTTTGCCATTTAGTTCCAGAGAAAGTTGGGAACCTGGAGGCCAACAGCAATGGTTCCACAAGGTCCCTAGTAGTGAGCTGGTCGCCCCCTGCTGGAGACTGGGAGCAGTACCGCATCCTGCTCTTCAATGGGTCCTCGGTGCTTCTCAACACCACGGTGGGAAAGGAGGAAACACACTATGCCATGAGTAATATGGGACTCATACCGGGAAGACAGTATGAAGCAGAAGTCACTGTTGAGAGTGGAAATCTGAGGAATTCTAAGCGTTGCCAAGGCAGGACGGGTAAGCAAATACCGACATTCATGGATCCTTAATTTGGCATCTCGGGTCATCATTGATGCTGTGTCCCAGAAATCTCTGTATTTAAGATATTAAACACTGATGGAAATAGGGGTGGTGCCATTTGTTAAATTAAGTTGAAAATCACTTCCACTAATAACTCATTAGTTTTATAAAAGAAAACATTTTAAATGCCAAAAATATAGGCAGGAAATTATCTGAATGAAGACTGTTCTTCCCCATGAAAGAAAGGTGGTTGACAACTTTTTGTTACTGATGAGTGTTACAGAACCACAGCCTTGACCTCAGGTTGACTAGTTGGGAGGTGAGAAACCATGGAAGGTTATTGAGCGAAGAGGATACTGAGATACGAGTTTTAGGTACTCTTGCCATCAGCACTACTTTGTTATTTTTACTTGAGCGCCCCACAACCTCTCTGAGCCTTTTTCCTCAATTTCCAAGTTGCTGTTCCCAAGCTCAATATTTTTTTTAATGAAAATCCTGTGACATAGAATACTCCATTTTTGGTGTAACACTCAAATAGTTCTCTTAGTCTTCCCTGATAATAAGGAAACAATTACATTCGCTCAATATTCTTCTTAAAAGGACATGAAAATAATGGCCTGAGACACCTACTTAGCTTGCTACTGTGTCTTCCAGTAAGCTCTTCATTTTCCAAAGATTAATATTCTTTGAATAATGGCCAAAGACCTCAAAAGCTTAAACCAAGCCACTTTCAGCACTTCATACATCATCATGTATCTCTCTCAGTATTTCTTTCACTCACCTCAAATAACTTGAAAATAGTTCAAGGGACAGTAGAGGTTCACAGCATTCTTTTTTTACTGTGAATTTTATTTTATTTTTTTTAACTGAGATATAGTTGGTTTACATTATGTATTTTGAGAAAGGGGGGGCTTAGGCTCACACCTCCACAGTTGAATGTTTTCACACCATAGTCATCAGTGATTCCCCCTCACACCCCAGTGATTCCCCCTCATACTCCAGTGCCCGCTGCCACCTCACCACACTCACCTCTGGGTTGCCTCAGTTTTGCAATCAGGTTTCAAGAGTTAGCTACTGTTTTGGTTTTATCTTGATATATGTCTTAAGAGAATTTTTCTTAAACTATATCGCTAGATGAACAAATGGAAGTAGGTTTTGATATAAACAATCCAGTTCATTTCTATATATTGAACAGGAAAGATGCAGAGATAGGGAGCTAATTAGAATGGAATTATAGAAAAACTCTGATGCAAAAATCATAATATAATTTTACATACTTGGTTGTTCCATAATTTGCTTTCCCTATTACCAATCATTTGCTCTTAATGTCTTCTAAAAATTAAAATAAGAAGACCCTTTAAAGAAATGGAAGCAATTTCAGTACTTTGTATAATGGCAGTACTTAACCACTACTACTTCCACTACTACTTGTCAGTTATATTGTTATTATTTTTACTTTTATGGCCACATTAATACCCCTCCTTAGAAAAGAAAGAATTAGCACCCAGGCATTCCAAGTCATGGGAGTAACAACAATCATAACTCCACCATAATACTTAAACATGAACCTATGTGGTTTTTGTGGGTGACAAGATTAATTAAATGTTTTTGTAAGACAGAATTCATATAAAGAAATGAACACTCATCAGGAAATAATGTGGTCAAAAAAAAATGTGATCCAGTAAAATGTTTTCCCTTTTTTGTTAAGTTACATCTACTGAGGTAATGTTGATTTACATCACAGTCTATGTCTTAGGGATATAGCTTTACACCTCTTCAAATGTCTGTTATTTTACCACATTCACCACCAGAGCCCCAGGAAGCCTTTGTTGAACCTCCCCTTTGCTTTCATCCCACCATATCCCCCTTCCATAGCCCTTGTTATAGTCCACTGTGCTCTTTACCCCTCCTGTTTTTACCCTTCTCCCTACCTTCTTCTCTCCCAACATGCCTCATATCTGTGACCAGCTTTCAAGGGTTGTCTTTGTCTTACCTTTTGTTTGGTTTCTTTATATTCCAAACATAAATGAAACTATCTGGTATTTATCTTTCTCTTTCTGGTTAATTTTGCTTAGCATAATCCCTCCCAGCCTCTATCCATGTTGCTACAGATGTCTTGAGTCTATCTTTTTTGATCACTGAGTAGTATTCCATTGTGAATATATATCCCACCTCTGCTTTATCCATTCTTCTGTTTGGGGGAATCTTTTGAGGAACCCGCTGTTTATATTCTCCTTTGTTTACCTTGCTGCTTGAGATGAGTCCTCAGAGATGTTTCTGCAGTTTATGTCATGGACTCTTTTTCCTCTTCTATAAATTTTATGGCTTCAGGTCTTAACATCCAACTCTTTATCCATTTTGAGTATAAACTAGTGCTCTAGTTTCATTCTTTTGCATGTGGCTGTCCATTTTTCCCAATACCACTTATTGACAGGATTTCCCAGATTCCAGTGTATAGGTCACTCCTTTATTATGGAGTAGTCCATAGATATTCCGTAAATATTCTTTCTAATCCTTTAGGTTATGGTACATGAATAAAGTTTTATATGGTTAGTTTTGTTCCCTTAATGTTTATAAGCATTCAGGAAACAAATACTGAAATGAAATACACCTGTAAATGGAAGAGAACAGCTGTCTGAAGAACACTCAAGTCTGTGCGACCATCAGTGACCCAGTCTTCATTGCTTTCTTTCAGTCCCCTTGGCGGTCCTCCAGCTTCGTATCAAACATGCCAATGAAACCTCGCTGGCTGTCATGTGGCAAGCCCCTGTCGCCGAATGGGAGAAATACATCATCTCATTAGCCGACAGGGACCTCTTACTCATCCACAAGTCACTCCCCAAAGATGCCAAAGAGTTCACTTTTACTGACCTGATACCCGGACGAAAATACATAGCTACAGTCACTAGTATTAGTGGAGACTTAAAAAATTCATCTTCAACCAAAGGAAGAACAGGTAACATTCTTCATGAATTTTAGAGTCTAAAATTACTGTGCCTACTGAATTGCTGAACATTCAATATTCAGTGTTCAGTACATGCCTAATATGTACTTACTGGGCATTGTTTCATAGATCCTCTTTTATTGTTTGTTTTCTGTTTTATTTACTTCAGCTCTTGTCTTTGTTATTTTGTCTTTGTTTCATCTTTTTACTTCATTTGGGATTATTTTGCTAAAATTAAAACACGACAGAGGAGGCTCTCCCTGGTGGTGCAGTGGGTTAAGGCACCGCATTATGAAGCTCTCTGAAGCCACTGCAGCACGAGTTCAATCCCCCGCCAGGGAGATGACTCACATGATGTGGCAAACCTCTCCTGACCAGCCCGCTGCTCCTCTCAGCAGTGTATTTCACTAGTTCTGCCTGTTGTCTACCCCATTCTGTCTCTGGTGAATCTTCTCACCCACCACACTTCTAGCCTGTACCCTAGTTCTGTAAGCATAAATAAATAAATCTTTAAAAAACACACACACACACACCACACAACAGAGAACAACCTTTTCCAGGAGATTTCCTGCAAAAGAAACAAGAGAGAGGCAGCGTTTAAAGAGGGGATTAAATTTTAAGGAAAGAGGAAATAACATTGTTGTGTGCTGATGTAATATTCTAGAATAGAGTGAGATGGTGATGATGTACAGAATGAGGAAGAATCGCTGCAGTTATACTATGATAGACAAGAGGTATTGGGATCTAAAGGACAAGTGAAGGGATTGGCTTTAGAAATGAACATTAACATTTTAATTTTAAGATCCACTAGGAAGAGATCGATGGGTTCAAATGCCAGTAGACAGACATAGAGGAGTGCAGATATCTTTTGGTAACTAATTTTCTCATTACTCAATTTTATTACTAAGAATTTTTAGGAACAAGCTCTTTACACTTTTGTTTTTCTGGGTATGTTTTTATATAACCCGCAATCTTAAAGTATAGTGTCCTTGAGTTGCAATTCTATATTGAAAGCTGAGTGGCCTCTCTGGTGGTGCAAGGTTGTAAGTCTCAGCACCATGAAGCTGTCACAGCCACGGCAGCATGAGTTCAATCCCCGCCCAAGAATCTGACCCATGTGGCTCAGCAGACCTCTTCTGTCTTGTCTGCTGCTCCCCTCAGCAGTGTATTTCAGTAAATCCACCTGTTCTGCTCCCCATTCTGTCTATAATGAATCCTCACATTCCCCACCCCCTGCCACCGTGCATCTCTGGCCTACACCCCAGTTCTTGTATTTAAAATTTAAATTTAAAAGATTTTTAAAAGAATGTTGTTTTCTCTCAGGATATTAATGATATTTTCCAGTTGTTTTGACATTTATTGTTGCTGTTGAAAAGTCAGCTGTCAGTCAAATTTTAATTTCTCTGAGTAATCTGTATGTTTACTATGACTGCTTTGAATTTCTACTGTGGTTTCACAGCAATGATCTAGGATCATTTATTTTTATTTTAGTTAAGTTTTGTGATCTTGCTTCTGATTATGTACTTCCAAATTAGTATTTTTCATCAACCCAGAAGATTCTCAGTCATTAACTCTCTAATATTACCTCTCATTTCTTCCCATGCATTTGCTCTACGGGCTATAGTTTGGATAATGCAGCTCTTGATATTTGTTCCTTAATTCTTCCTGGGCTCTGTTTAATCTATTTTTAAATCCATCTATTGGGTTTTAAATTTTAATCATTATGTTCTACATTTTCAAGTAGTCTCCTTTGGTTCTCTTCCAAATGTGTTTTGTGCACCATTGCTCTTTAGTAATCTTTTCACACTCTTCTTTTATTGCTCTAAGCAAATTAACAATTTTCATTTTACATTCTATGATAATTATACTATCTGAAATCAGAATTTTAAGCCTGTTATCCATTGGTTTTGCTGCCTTTTGTTCGTGGTGCTTTTACTACCTAAATGTTTGTGATTTTTTTACTGTAAGTTCATAAACTTTGGAATATTGTTCTTTGGGGATTTGAGGCCTTGTTTGAAGATGGTTTACAGAAAAACATTTCCTTTCATTTGAGTCTTTCAGCTTCACAGAACTATTGTCAATGTGGTATAGGGAAGAAAAGGGAATGTTTATTTTATTTACACTTAGACTGTAACTTTTCAAGATTCAGTGTTAAACAAGGTCACCATTTGTCTCCTTAGCTTGGGAAAGCCATATACTTTATCTCTTGCTCCCAGATCCTATAAAGCTATAAAATAAAAAATTAAATTTGTGTTTGAAAGACACCCTCAGGATGAAAATCTGCTTCAGTGATCCAGTTACCTACTTATTACTTACTTTTAGGTCTCAGAATTTCTTAGCTTCTTGTATTTACATTTTTGTCGTACTCAAAATGTGAAGCTTTATTTATTGAGGAGGTTTTCATGCTATTTAGTTCACCATACATACTACCAGAAGTAGAGATCCTAGACATCATTTTATACTTAAAATATTTTTTTAAGATTTATTTATTTATGCATACAAGAACCAGGGTACACACCAGAAGTGTGGGGGTGAAAGGATTCACCAGAGACAGAGTGGGGAGCAGAACAGGCAGATCAACCAAAGTACACTGCTGGGGTAAGCAGCAGTCCATTCAGAAGAGTTCTGCCATGCCATGTGGTCAGCCCCCTGGTGGGGATGGAACTTGCGCTGCGCTGTGGTGCCTTCAGAGACTGTGGAAAGCTCCACAGTGCTGGGCTTTAACCTGTTGCACCATCAGGAAGAGCCTAAAATCATTCTTTTCAGTCTCACAACTCTTATGACAAATACATTTTTAAATTTGTACGAAATTATCAAACTTTTCTCCAAGTGATTATAAAATTTTACATACATCAGCAATATATGAAGATTCATGTTTCACCAAATCTTCAGCAACACTTGGTATTGTTTTGTTTTGATTTTAGCCATTCTAATAAGTGTGTTGTGGTATCATGTGATTTTTTCTTTCCCTAACTGATGGTTCTGAGTAAGTTTTCATATGCTTATTTACCACCCATTTATAAAATGCTCAAGTATTTTACCTATTTTTTTAAAGATTTATTTATTTATACATACAGAATTGGGGTGTTGGCCAGAGGTGTAGGGGCAGTGAAAGGATTCACCAGAGACTGAGTGGGAAGCAGAACAGGCCAACAGAACAATGCTGAGGGGAGTAGCGGGAAGGTCAGGAGAGGTCTGCCACACCATTGTGGGTCTCACATCTGGGGCAGGGATTGAACTCATGCAAAAGTGACTTTAGCTTCTTAGTGCTGTGCTTTAACCTGCTGCGCCACTAGAGAGGGCTTTTACCTATTTTTTAATAAGGTTGTTTGTTTCCTTTAAGATTGACAATTCTTTTTTTATTGATAATAAATTCAGTTATGCATTATTCAAAATCAATATGTATGGAATACATTAAGTTCACCACAAAATACATTCATTAATAAGTACATTACACATGCATCAGAAGGTTCAGTTATAAGTTTTAAAAAGAAAATAAAGGAAAATAGCAAAACAATTTTGAAAAAGAACAAAGTTGGAGAACGTGTCATCTGGTTTCAAGATTTACTAGAAAGGTAACTGGCATTTACTTGTCTTTATAATTACAATCATAATTGACCCTTCTGATGCATATATGGTATACTTCTTAATGAATATTTGTATCTTAATCCAAAAGTCAATGAATACTGAGGTGTGCCAACATACCAATGCCTTCTATTATCATAATTCAGAAAAGAGACAAAGGAAATGTATTTGATCAAGTGGATAATTTGTTACTGGATAGGCTAGTTATCACAATAGTTGTTAACTAGGAAAGGGACGCAGGATCACGATTGAGAGATAGAACTTTGGTCCAGGTTGACTGTTTGTTAGCACTGTGATATAGACTGTGAATTACATTTTATGATCCTTGGTTTCTTCCTCAGTGAAGAGAATAACAGAATAAAGTAACTCAAAGGGAGTTTTGAATAGGGTCTCTATAAAGCGCAGATGCCATAATTGGTACATTCAGAAGTTATTATTATATAAGAATATAACTTAAATTATTATAACATTTCATGTATAATAATAATCCTCTTGAGAAAATATCAGTAAAGAATTGTTCAGCTTTCTGTACAACAACCTCATTATCATGTTGAAGGAATTTCTTTATACTACCCTCTGACAGGTAGTTCACGTGTCTTTGAGCTGTCCTGAGGAGAGGCCAGCAAAAATCACATTCAGTAAGCAATCTTCAAAAATGAAGCCTTTCGTTATTTAAAATTTACAATCAAAACCACTTAGTAGGTTTGTGCTATCTCATTCTTGTATTAAAATAATCTTGATTTCAGCCCTCCCTGGTGGCGCAACAGGTTAGGACGCAGCACTGCAAGCTCACCTCAGCCACTTCACTGCGAGTTCCATCCCCCAGGAAGTGATCCACATGGTGTAGCACACCTCTCCTGTCTCACCCACTGCTCCCCTCAGCAGTGTACTTCCTGGATCTTTCTGTTCTGCTCCCCACTCTGTCTCTGGTGAATCCTCTCACCATCCCCACCCCCCACACCTCTGACCTGTACCCCAGTTCTGTATGTCTAAATAAATATATAAATAAATCTTTTTTAAAAAACCTTGATTTCCATATTAAGTAGCTATTTCAGAGTGGCAGGATCTTTGTAGGGGAGTAGTTCTCCATATATTATAGGAAACAGCTGAATTTTTTTAGCATTTCCACAACTCTATTTTCTACTCATTTCTGTTATATTTCTTAGGATAACTAAGTGTCATCTGTTTTTCTTCTCTGTGTCTACTGTGTTTAGTGCCTGCTCAAGTGACCAGTTTACATGTAAGCAACCACGGAACAAGCAGCAGTTTATATACGAACTGGACCCGAGCCCTGGGAGACATAGACTTCTACCAAGTCTTACTAATCCATGAAAATGTAGTCATCAAAAATGAAAGTGTCCCCAGTGAGACCAGCAAGTACAGCTTCCACTCCCTCAAATCTGGGAGTCTCTACTCCGTGGTGGTTACGACTGTCAGTGGAGGGAACTCTTCCCGCCAAGTGGTGGTGGAGGGAAGGACAGGTAAGATGTGTGTCTGTGAGCTACGGTTAGAGCGCTCAAACCTCCAGAGCATATTCTGCAATTTTTAAAACATCCTAAAGTAGACCCATCTTTAGGGTTCCTGAAACCTTGTTTTAATATCAGCCGTGACACTTTGCTCTCCTGGGCGTGGGTGAGACGAGGAGAGAATCAATTCTGAATTTTCTAAAATCTCCAGTAAATATGTGACAGAACTCCTAGATAAACCTTTGTGATTAC